TCTCTGGATGGTGGGGTTACAGGTGGTTTTTCCTTACGTCTATACTTTTAATATTTCTTAAAATGAACATTTTTGCAATAATAAAAGTTGATTTCATACACACACACACACACACACACATACATATACGGCATATCAGGTAAACAAATACAAAAATAAGTATAATGGCTGTCCTACTGCATTACTGAACCTAGAAGTGAATACATAGAAATTATTCTTTGGGTACCACTTTGGGATGGTGGAAATCCATACTCCTGAAAGTGGGTCTGAGCTGTATTGGGTAGGTGAGGATGGGTGGGTGTGAGTGTGAGGCCCTCTTGGTCTTCTGGTAGCTCATTTAATATGGAAAAAAAATGTAAAAGGTGCTGCTAACTAGAAAGTGACTTCACTACTGGAGTTGAATAAAAGACAAATAGGAGTGTGCATTCTTATATATCTCCCCCAGTCCTTACACTTCTAATTCATTGCCATGGAATTTTCTCACATAAAAATGAATATCAACATGATAATTAATAGTCCATATATATAACATACATAGAGAGAGCTGGCATTCCAAGAATCACCTTCCAGATCGCAAAGCAAGGATCTAGGCCTGGTAAATGCCTTTCAAAAATCAAATGGTAGAACCCTGGTATCAAATTTCCTAACGTCATCACACAAGAAAGCAAAGATATCAAAGAAAAGGGCAATTAAAACCAATAACAACAAAAAGATCTCATTTATCTCTCTCTCTCTCTCATGCATGAGAAAGAGTACAGAAAATGCAAGCAGTGGTTGCCCCCACAGCCCTTCAGAGACCCAGGTAACTGTGGTAACCATTTGGGATTGGCCTTTTAGTTTGGAAGGTTCAAATTCTAGAACTGTTGGTTGGATTTGCGCAAAGTCCCAATGGAGAGAGCTGTGAACTCCGAGTGCTGAACGGTTCATTCTCTGGGGATTTAGCAACCTTCTTGTAAAAAATCTCGGTTCTTAATTACTGGTGAGAAGAACTAGATGTATGTGGTAGTCTGAAACCCTTTCACCTGGCAAAATTACTTTTCTTCAAGTTATGGCATTAATGAAAAAAAAATCATCCTGGGCATATTTATATAAGTAAGCAGAACACTGAACTTTGCATGTGTGTGTGTATGTGTGTGCATACTTTAACAGCAACAGAGTACAGATTGTTTTCCCAAAACAAGAAATCATTAGAATGTCAAAAAGGGCCTATTTATGATTTAAAATTCCCATGGCCCTATAAGGAAAGCACTGTTTATTTCGGCACTGGTAAAAATGGAATAGAAATATGTATTTACAAAAATATTTTTATATATTTCATGTAATTATGAAAAGTCCTCACCTTTCTTGAAGTTTCTTGAGTTTTTCAGGATCTGCGTTTTTCTTAGCGGCCTCCTTCTCACCTGGGAAACCAGAGGCTGCCGTGCTGTCCCCACTAACATTTTGATTCGGGATATCAGACACTGCAGAGAAAGCCAAAGGTCTGTTTTCTTGTGGGTACCCAGGCATGTCAGAGTTCATTCCTGCTAGGGAGGAGCTGGAAGAATTCACTGAGGACAAGCCATCTCGAGGATTCAGTAAGAGATTTTCTGAATCTAATGGAGCCCCCTGAGGTTGGTTTGTTAAGGTATTGTCTTCTGCTCCCCTGACATCAAGTTCATGAGCATTGTTTACTGGAAAGTCACTGTGGTTTTCAGCATTGGCAAATGGATGCCTGTTTCTAATGGGGGACAGTGGCCGACGAATATTATATCTTGAGTTTCCCTCTGAGTCTGAACTGTGAACTGAAGAAGATGATGTTGATAAGGCTACTGAAATACCATCTCTGAGAGCAGAATGCATTAACGATCCTGATGTGTTAGAAGGTGAATTCACTGATGATCTTGGAGCTGTTCTACCAGAAACAAAGTAGTCAAAAGAATTTCTGGAGCTGTTTAAATAGTCCAGCCAATCTCTTCCGTAGTCCTGGGTACCAGGCCGCTCTGCTGCAGAAGGACAGTCATTAGGTGCACTTTCAGCATTGAGACCATCATCTTGTCTGGGTTCGGCTGTGGTGTCCCATGAATGAAAGGTCTTTTGCTTGTTTTGACTGTCGTCACTGTCAGTCTCTTTAGTGGACTCCCCGTTGAGCAGCCCAGGGTCTTGGAACCTCCTCTGCCCAACAGAAGGTTGCTCTGTCACTGGCTGCGCTGCACTGCTTACTCTTGATGAGCCACGGCTAAGCTCGCTTCTTACAGAATTAGCTCTGCACTTCTTGGGATCGCCGTCAAGAGTTTTATTTTGGGATTGAGTGGTCAGTGTCCTAGGAAATCGACTTCTCTTACGATTGGAAGAAGAACAGGGTGCTTGCATACCTGCCAACAGAAGTTCTTCCTCTAAGTGGGTTTCCTCTTCAGTGTCGTCATTTTCCTCTCCAGTGTTTAATGATAAAACAGAATAAGAGTCTTCATCTCTGAACCTGAATGGGGCCCTTCGTGGCCCTCCCATGGACTCGCTCAATCCCTGAGGATTATTTGTTCCTTGGAAGGTCTGGGATACAGCTGAATGGGGCTCCCTCTGGGAATGGGCACCCTTGTCTCCTTTGCTGGTTCTCTCAGAGGTGTTCTCAGCTGTCGTCATCAGATGTGAGGATGGGACTAAGTTTCTTTTCTCTTGAGTTGGCCTCTTCAGCTTAATGTCACTTGCCCACCCTGGGCCTTCTTGTTGAACTATGAGATCTGCATTGAGAAAAGACAATTTCATAATTCTATCATAGGTGCTCGTGGATTGAAAGACCTCTAACACCAAGGGTGAGAGTCCCTTAAGGCAACAAACAAAACTGGAAGATAAACTATGCACTGCCAAAATGGCTGAAGATACAGGAGGAGGCTCAGTACAGTACAATTTGCTTCATTTTTACTGCTTCTGAATTCTCCTGTGGAGCTTAGGCTCGTTCTGAGGAAGCTTGGGGGACCTTGAGGATAGAGATTCTTTCTACAGAAGCCTCAGAAAGAATGGTCCAGCCTCAGGCTAGTCTGGGGTGGTGATGGGTAAACCTCACTAAATACTGGTGTCCAGTCCAGTATTTCTTAGAAAGGAAAAAAGCATTCCCAGGATAACTTCTACAAAAACCACCAATGCTCTCTCATCTAAATTCATCCAACATAGGGCACTACTGCTGCACACACAGCTTTACAAACATTTCAGAAAAGTACATTTCTATCTTGGGAGGTTGGGAAGAAGCTTCTTGAAGCTGGTGGCCAAGACACAAATGATCTTGTTTATGATTACCACTCAAAAAAAAGCAAACTCACTGTCACCGAGTCAATTCAACTCATAGTGACCCCTCCTTGGGTTTCTGAGGTGATCTCTCTACGGAAGTAGATTGCCCAACCTTCCTTCCAAGGAGTAGCTGGTGGGTTTGAACCTCCAGCCTTCTGGTTAGCAGTCAAATGCCTTAGGCATTACGCCAACAGAGCTCCTATGATTACCACTTAGTGCAAATAAAAATTATTAATCTCTTATGAAATCATTATCTCTTCTCTGTCCCTAACCTGTTGCTGAAACCCACCGCTGTCAAGTTGATGATGACTCATAGTAACCCTATAGCACAGAGAAGAACTTCCCCAGAGGGTTTCCAAGGCTGTGCATTTTTATGGAAGCAGATTGCCACATCTTTGTCCTGCAAAGCAGCTAGTGGGTTTGAACTGCTGACCTTTGAGTTAGCACCCATGTTCTTAATCACTGTGCCATCAGGGCTTCTGCTTTGTCCCTAGCTCCTGGTCAATTTGTAACCGGTGGCTATAATAGACTCCCATGGACTCTAAAGTAGGAGGAGATTAGAGATAGGAGGAAAAGTGCCCAAGTGAGTAGGAATTTCCATTGTTGAAACCACTTGTTCAAAATTTGCCCTTAGAAAACAACAAAGCCTTATTTACTGAAGGCTTCCACTGAACCGATGAGAGATCATTACATCCATGCATTCAGGGAGCTCTGGTGGTGCTGTGGTTAAAGCACTGGGCTGCTCACCAAAAGATCAGCGGTTTGAACCCGCCATGGGAGGCAGATAAGGCAGTCTGCTTCCGTAAAGATTTGCAGCCTTGGAAACCCTGTATGACAGTTCTACTCTGTCCTACAGGGTCACTATGAATCAGAATTGACTATGGCAGTGGATTTTTTTGGTATTACCATAGTGCATTTTAATTGAGGGGACCAAGTCTTAGAGAGGTCAAGTAACTTGCCCAAGATCGTATTCCTAGAAAGTGATGGAGTGAATATCTGAACCCACACCTGCCTCAGACTGGAGTTTGTGCTGTTAACCACCACCCTGCGATTCTCTCTTGTGGAAATGACTGAGCTTCCAGTTTCCTTGTGAGGAACAGAATCCACTGAATTCTTCATGATGTGTGTGTTGCTGAAGGTCTTAAAAAAGACCCTCTGAATGTGGATGAAAAACCACAAGTAATTCTCTGATTCCACTTGCCTTTACTCCCCTCTGCTGTTCTCCAGGGTCTTGTGAGGTGCTGCTATCCTTCATGGTTCTGCTTCTAAAGTGGTTCGCCCCACAGAGTGGACAGGACTCCACGGGGTCTGGGCAGGTCTGTGTGAGAGTAGCTCAGGCTGTTTGCCGTGAGAACAGCCAACCCTTGGAGCACCCGGCTCAGCAAAGGGCCGAGTCAATACTGACTCACTTTAACTGAGGAGCCTCACAGGGGACCACCTTCTGAGTCTCTAACACTAATACTCTGTCAGCCTCCTTTATTGCTAACTGCACGGGGCACTCGGTGACACAGTGTGCTCTCCTCTCAGGCTCCTCATAGGTCTGTAAACCACAGGAAGTGATGTACCAGCAGCTCAAGGATGCTCGGAACCCTTGGCTGTGTGTGTATGCGAGGGACGCCGGCATGCCCACCCTGGGCTAGGTGCATTCCCATTTTGAGGAACCAATGCTTCTGCAGGACCAATGGAATTCTCCTTTTTTTTTTTTTTTTTTCTGAGGGAGGGGGAAAAAATATGGAGGACTCGGAAGTGGAGGCTCTGATTGATTACTTTTTGAACTTGATAACAGGCCTCAAAGATCAGCCAAGAGTGCTGGAGCGTGGACTTTCTGGTCGTTCCCTGAATGCTCACAACCGCTGGGCAGAAGGGAGGTGTTCCTCTCCCTGTGAGCCAATTTAATCCAGTCTGCCCAGGTACCTGGGCACCCAACAGGCAAAAGAATCAGCTAGGGCAGCTTTGGGCGAAGAGAAACTGGAAACTCCGCAGGGACCAGATGCTCACTGGACGGAAGCGACTGAGCTGTTCCCCAGTGACACCGGCCTCTGGGGCAGGAGAAGGCTCAGGCTAAGTGCTGAAGCCCCTGTGGATCCCCCAATCCCCCTGTCACCCATCTCTACCCCTCCTTGTCACCATGACGGTCTTCCTCCTTAAACACTGCATCAGCCTCCATGGTATGTGTGTTTCCCCTAAAGGTGGCAGACCGTGCCATTCTTTATCTGTGCTGTTCTAACCCTGCCTCTCATGTCTAGCAAATAGGGAGCTGATTCCAGTAACTCTGGGACTGGGAGTAATCATCCAGTTTGTACACCAGGGATGTGTTACGCATAGACCAGACCCTACAGATGCTGCTGGGTGCCCTTCTGAGGCCCTGCACGGAACAGGAGAGCCCACCACTTCCAGGGGGTCTAGGCACAGAGACAAAGCAGAGCCAGCGGCCATCTGCCCCGAGACTATGCCTTTGGCCTGCCCTTCTTCATGGGCATGACCAGTTATTTCCTACATTCCCAAATCCTTATATTTTCTATTTTCCCCCTTCTCATCATAAAAGGGGAGCTCTGGTAGCATAGTGGCTAAGGCACTTGACTGCCAACCAGAAGGCTGGCGGTTCAAACCCACCAGCCACTTCTTGGAAGGAAGATGGGGCAATCTACTTCCGTAGTGATACTGCCTCGGAAACCCAAGGAGGGGTCGCTATGAGTCAGGTCCGACTCAATGGCACATAACAACAACAACATCATAAAAGTAGTCTATGCTCATTGTTGTTGTTGTTGTTGTTATTTGCCATCGAGTCAGCCCCGACTCATAGCGACCCCTCCTTGGGTTTCCAAGGCAGTATCACTGTGGAAGTAGGAATGCCCAGTGCTCATTGTAGAAAATTTAAAAGATAGAGATGAAGAGGAAATAAAAATCACCCATAATCCAAAACTTAAGATGAGCATTGTTGCTGTTTGGGAATTCAGGGGTGCGTTGCAAACCAAGACCCTGGCCTATTTTCATCCCATAATGGTGCTTTGGTTCAGCATTTAAAAAGGAATGAAACGCCTTCAGGTGGAGCGTGTATGTTGGGGTTTACCGTGGGCCCCACAGCCTCTGTTGAATTTCACCTGCCATGCCTGCCTGCTTCCTAAAGGCTTTTGTACTGGGCCTCTTATCGAGAGATAAGGGTTATGACAACCCTTATCTAGAGATAAGGGTTAAAAGAGAGTTCTTTTCAAAGTAAAATTGGGATATTTGTGCATACTACATCAAGCTCACTGCCACTGAGTGCATTCTGACTCTTAGTGATCCTCACTGGATTTCCAAGGTCGTAAATCTTTACAGAAGCAGATGTCCTATCTTCCTTCCGAGGAGTGGTTGGCAGGTTTGAACCTCCTGGTTAGCAGTCAAATGCCTTAGCCGCTGTCCCACCAGAGCTCCAATATTTATATTTACGTGTATCCAACATTGTATCTTACTTTTTTTCCCCTAAACATTTTATTGTGAGCATTACCTCTTGTCATCAATTATTCTTTAAGAATATGATAATAATTACAAAGGTATATTATATGAATGCATCCTAACTTATTTAACCCTTCCCCTGTTGGTGGGCATTTAGTTTGTTTTAAGGCTCTCTGCTGTCATAAATTACACTGTGGTAAACATCTTTGCTCATAAATCTTGGGACATATGTCTTATTTTCTTAGAACAGATTAATGGAAGTGGAATTGCTAGGTCAAAAGACATGAACCTTCCAAAGGCTTTTGACTCATGTCACCAAACTCCATTCCCGACAGGCTTGTACCAAATTACGCTCCTAGTGAGATGTGAAAGCAGCTTTCTTATGACTGTGCCACTGACTGTCTGTGTCACAGCATTTGACACATTACAAAAAAAAAAGGTCACTGCCATCGAGTCAATTCGACTCATAGCGACCCCTCCTTGGGTTTCCGAGGCAGTATATCTATGGAAGTAGATTGCCCCATCTTCCTTCCCAGGAGTGCTGGTAGGTTTGAACCACCAGCTTTCTGGTTAGCAGTCAAGTGTCTTAGGCACTACACCATCAGAGCTCCCACACATTGGTGCCCAGGAAATGTTAGCTGTTATTTACAGTACCAGTACTGGCATTAACATATTGAATATTATTTTTAAAACCTCGATTCCAACTCATAGCAACCCCCATTGGGTTTCTGAAGCTGTAAATCTTTACGAAAGTAGATCGTCCCATCTTCTTTCCATGGAGTGGCTGGTGGGTTTGAATTGCTGGCCTTCTGGTTAGCAGCCAAACGCCTTATCCACTATGCCACCAGAGGTTTGTTTTTGTTTTTTTTTTTTTGCAGCCAATTTGTAGGACAAAAGTGGTATCTTATAGTATAAATTTACATTTATTGCTTAGTGAGGGTGATATTTTCCCCCAATGTTTACTAGCCACCTGTATCTCATCATCTGTAAATTGTCTGTTATACCCCCTTCCCATTTTTCTGTTAGGTATTTGTGTGTTTCTTATTGATTCATAAATGCTATCTACATATTACCTCTCTACCACACTTGTTGCAAATCTTCTTCCACTACATGATTCAAGTATCTTGCTCCTACTCCACTTTATGAAAACCACTTTTGAATGTGAGAAAAAGAACTAAACAGTGATCGGTGAAGAAATAATTGGGGGAATATAAGGGAACCTGGGGATAATAGAAAATTTGGACACATTTTCAATGGATCCCAGGGTAACAGATGATGTCTTCTGGGTGAAGATGGAGGATTGGATGAGCTGTGTGGGTCCAGGAACATCTCATGCATGGGCACACTCACCTTTCACATTATATGTAAGGGTTCCTCAAGGGCCATTGGGGAGAATAGTTGAGTGCCTACTATTGGGGTCTCTGTGCCAGGTACTGGACAGTACACTATTTTATTTAATGGTTATAACAATGAGGTGGATATCATTATTCTTATTTCTTGACCACCCAGGTTTCCACCACTAGGAGGAGGAAGAGCTGGAATTAGATCTAAGTCAAGGCTCATAGCCTTCCTGCCAGGAAGCATTAGATAACTGGGGCCATTGTGGATGTCTAGTTGCTGGTAGCATAGTGCCTAAGGCACTTGACTGCTAACCAGAAGGCTGGCAGTTCAAACCCACCAGCCACTCCTCGGAAGGAAGGTTGGGCAATCCTACTTCCATAGTGATACTGCCTTGGAAACCCAAGGAGGGGTCGCTATGAGTCGGGGGCGACTCGATGGCACATAACAACAACAACAACAACAACAAGTTGCTACAGATCCATAGATGCTCTGATTGCCCCTAATTGCAAGCCAACCAGATATTACCGTGTTCTACTATATATGTGTTCACTGCTGTCTATGCCTCATTTTAAAATAAAAGCTACTATGTTCATCTGGTAGAAAGGAAGTATGACACTCTGTGATCTCCCTAAGGGAGAAGAACCAGTCTATGGCCAGGTTGGCTATGAGGTGTTATTACTTTCCTTGAGTCCTAGAGTCCATTCTTCCTCTCCTTCCTGCCACCACAGGGCAGGGTAACATGGTTAGGAGAGCAGTGTGGCTTGGGTCTTAGGATGAACGTTCAGGACTAAAACTTAGAAAAAAGAAGTAGCTACCAAACCAGTGTTTTGAAATAGAGCATATCCTTGTTTGATGTTATTTCTTCCCCATTACGATCTTGACTTCATGTCTGCCTTGGGTCAGAAGGAAGAAGATCTCTGCCACCCACAGACATCCAGCCTCCCTCCTGGGCAGTGGTGGGGACTGTGGGTGAGTGAGACCTGCCCTAGAGCTGCAGACTGCTCCTCCACCTCCTCCCTGCCACTCACCACCCAAATGCCCTGTGGAGGCCACATTGCTGCCTGTCACTGCAAGCCCTGCACTGTTTATGCTCATGGAGTAAGGGGAGAGAAAAATAAACTCCATTGTTGTTTTTTTTCTTTTCCCACTAGTCTGCCTGCCTTCCTCTCCCCGCCCCCCCAAAAAAAACTATATGAGAAGATTTTTGCATTTGAAAATTTCATCTAAATTATTTATGATCAGATTAGGTGAGGTGTACAGGAAAAAAGCTATCTATTCAAACACAGAGTCAAAGTTTCAAACCTCACTTATTATTCACCTTCTTTATTCCAATCTACTTTTGATAGAAAAGGAGCTCTGGTGGTAGAGTAGTTAAGGCGTTAGGCTGCTAACCAAAAGGTCAGTGGTAATTTCTTTCAAATTCATAGCATGTCCTCTAGTGGCAAAGTGCCTAAGGCATTTGACTGCTAACCAGAAGGCTTGAGGCTCAAACCCACCAGCCAATCCTGGTAAGGAAGATGGGACAATCTACTTCCATAGTGATACTGCCTCGGAAACCCAAGGAGGGGTACTACGAGTCGAGTCCAACTTGACGGCATATAACAACAACAGTGTTACTGTTTATTTCAACACCTACATACCATTTTTCTGTTTCCTGCAACAGCATGTGGAGACAGTACAATGTTAAAGATCCCTAAAACACAAGGAGGGTCTTCAGAGTTCAAGTAGGAGCTGAAGGTCAGATCAGGCAAAAGATACAAAATCCAGGAAAATAGTTTGGGCAATAGAGATCAGAAAACTAAGCAAAAAGACTGGAGAACAGGTTAGAACACAGGCAAATCTTGCATACAATAGGAATTTAAAGCCCAACTCTGAATACTGATGGAATTATAGGCTATCAACATCCAACACCATCCTGAACTAATGCACTGGATTTATAACCTTACTGTTTGAGAAAAAACATTATGAAATATTGAGCCTCAGTAATGATAAATAAAGATAAATGAGCCATCAGCCTTTCTGGAAAAAGAAAAGTAGATGAAATAGTATGCTTTTACATTTTTTGTGTGTGTTTCATCTTGTTGTTATGTGCTGTTGAATTGAACCCAACTCATAGCAACCCCTCCTTGGGTTTCCGAGGCGATATCACTACGGAAGTAGATTCCCCAACCTTTCTCTCGAGGAGTGGCTGGTGGGTTTGAACTGCCAGCCTTTTGGTTAGCAGTCAAGTGCCACAGGCACTACGCTATGTTTCATCTTAAGGTGCGTTGTAATAAGAAGGCTGGCTCTTCAAACCCCCCAGTAGGATTCGACTAGACAGCAGTGAGTTTGTTTTATTTTTTAATCCTTCACATAAAGGAGCTCTGGTGGCATAGTGGATAGGCATTTGGCTGCTAACCAAAAGGTCCACAGTTCAAACTGACCAGCTGCTCTGCAGAAGGAAGATGTGGCCTTGGCAACCCAACGGTGGTTGCTATGAGTCAGCATCGACTCAATGGCAGTGAGTTTTTGTTTTATTTTTTTCATCCTTTACATAAAAGCACACGTGTAAAAACCATAAAGAACTCACCAGGTAACAGGACATGTCAGGCCTCCTCTCTGAGGACCAAGGCGTGTGAGCCACGAATCCTTACCTGCTCCCCTGAGAACCAGCGCCTTCGCCGGGAGTTGCGATTTCTGTCTGCTTCGAGTCCCAGACACTCCCGGGCTCTGCGTTTCTGGGCTGACTGTCAGTCTCCCCAGGTTTGGCCTCCTCTTCCTTGATACAATCTGTGATGCCTGGGCTGCTGGAAGGTGCAAAATCCTTTCAATAACAATTTTTACAGGAAAACATCTTCCATATAAAGAACGCTCAAAGGGCCCAGCAGTGGAGGAGGGAGTTAAGATCAGAGGCCCTGGACAAAGAGAAGAGCTGGATTCAAAGCCAGGTGAGCTGAGGCAGATGGCTTCATCTCTGGAAGCCTCAGTTTCCCCATCCGTTACATGGAAATAATGTTGGTAGGACTGTGCCCATTAAGCACTGGGCTCAGGGGCGGACACAGGGCTGTCATTACCATTAATAAGCATGACATCTCATTTGAGACACAAAGTCCACAGAGGGTCTTTTCTTTTGCTAAGAAGTTTCTAGATTTCAACTCATCAAAATTATCACCGTCAAGAGCCCTCCGCAGCTCAGACCTACAGTTCAGTTGCCCCTCAAGTGCTCATCCAAGTTTTAATCAACATATTTTGGACCTGCATATTTATATCCTTGGGTTCTTTATCGACAGCTTAACACGGACTTACAGATGATTCCAAGTGTCAGGGGGCCGGCCACACGTCATCTTTCTTGCCTTCATGCTACCCACCACTGTGCTGGGATGACGCACTCATAGAAAGACGGTGGCTGAAGTGCTGCTACTGTGCACTGTGTTCCCAGTGAATATTAAGCAAATTTTCCTTTTCACGGTTTGGATGAGGTTGCTAATTGGCATGAATAATCTCAAGTTTTCCCTTCTCATGTATTAAGTGTGAGTGCATGTGAATGCATTGCTACAAAGTTCTCGGGTTCACAGGGCAGTCAAATCGTGACTCTGGACTCTGGACGGAGTCCCCCAAGAGAATGTGCCTGACTCATACCTTTTTGGATTGTTTAGAAATTTCACAAACAGACCTAGGCAATAAGGTAACATCTGGGAAGGTTCCCTGAATTACATGCAGGAGAGCCACCCTTCTTGGAACTTGGAGACAACTGGATTTATGTCCCAGAGTGAAAGCTATGGTTGTGCAAATAATTTCCATCCACAGTCAGGAAAGGGATAAAAGTTCTATTTGGCAGCCCAGAGACTGACTCACTGCTGTTGAGTCAATTTGACTCACAGCGACCTCTCCTTGGGTTTCTAAGGCAGTATCACTATGGAAGTAGACTGCTCAATCTTCTTCCCAAGGTGTGGCTGGGGGGTTTGAACCACCAGCCTTAAGGTTTTCAGTCAAATGCCTTAGGCACTATGCCACCAGAGCTCAGGAAGCCTAACTCAATATAGTGATTAGGCACTACCTACTTCTGCTGACAGGCCCCAGGACGGGAAGGTAGTGAGTGGGTTCTGTGGTCCAGAGAGGATCACATTCTACAGAAAACTTACTAAAATGAGAGGAGCTTCTGATAGTGTTGGGTGTAGCTTAGGGCAAGTTGGTAGAGCCCAGAGAGGTCATGGGTGTGGCCAGAAAGGAGAGAAAAGAGTGAAGTTCTCTGAAAAATGAGAATATACTCTTCAGATGGTGTACGGTGGTGATTAGGAGACAGAAAGAGAGAGAGAGAGAGAGAGAGAGATTGGGATCGAGTGCTTGCCAGTAAGGGTCATACTAGTCTCTTAGCACCAAGAGTTGCATTCCTCACATCCTGCGGCTTCTCCATCACCACCTCACAAGTGGAAAAACTTCCTGATACCTCATACCTTCCTAGCTCTCCAAAAAGTCAATAATGGTCTCTTCCCTTTCACCCTTGCTAGCACAAGAGGAAGCAGTGGGACTCCTAGTTACTGAGGAAGAAACAGAGGGAGGACCAGAGAAGGGGCAGGCTTGGGGCTCTGGCCAAGTCTGGGACCTAAGTCAGGACCTGGCCCAAAGATCGTTTTTACAAGGATTGCACTTTGATTCCCAGGAGGACGCCCAGCAGAATACTGACTATCCTTGACATTGCCCATGGTCTCCTCCACCCTCCCCACCTACACACCCTCATGTCAGGCCAGCTTCCCTCCCAGAGGGCCATCTTCACCAGTCTGCACCAGCCAGAGGTCCTTCAAGGTCTGTTTCCAGTTTTATGTCCACCAAGTCGGTTCTGAATCTACTTTGGCCAGAAGCCTTACCGTCACAACTCATGTGATCTTTATTGCACTCAAATGTTCTAAAATTGCTCAGTGTATGTCTTTTCTCTCCAACTAGACTGGAAACTCCTTAAAGATAAGGACCATCTCATACCCAGTGTGTGTGTTCCTCACAATATGTAATATCATGAAGGCCAAGTATTAATCGCCCAGTATTAATTTGGAGGGTTTTGAGAAGATATATTCAGCTGAAACTGAGTAATTCCAAAACTAGAACAATGCTTTTGTTGTATAAAATATCCAAGATGGTTTGAGATAAGAGATTATTTTATTTGTTTTCTTGTTCAAAAAGCTCCTTCCTTCAAAGCATCAGATCTCTTAAATGATTTCCAAAACTATTTCTATGCCTCCTCTGATCAAAAGTTCAGCAAACTAAAGTAATAAAGGTGAACAACTAGAGATTATTTTACCAGGGCCTGGCAGGGAAGAAATCACCTCTGTTAGTGCAGGCAGGATCCTCTAACCTTTGGCAATTTGAACCTCAATTTCTGCAACTGTAAAATGGAAATATTAAGCCCTCCCTTTCTGGGTTAGTGGAAAGTTTAGCAATAATGTACATAAATGGCCTCAGTGTCTGCTGCATATTAGCTGCTAAAAAGTGACAACTGCTGCTTTTACCATCAGTGCGATAATCACAGCAATAATAATGGGAAGACTGAAGCGACCCCTGTTGTTGTCGTTATGTGCCGTCGAGTCAAACCCGACTCATAGCGACCCCTCCTTGGGTTTCCGAGGCAGTATCACTACGGAAGTAGGATTGCCCAACCTTCCTTCCGAGGAGTGGCTGGTGGGTTTGAACCGCCAGCCGTCTGGTTAGCAGGCAAGTGTCTTAGCCACTATGCTACCACAGCTCCCGAAGCGACCCCTATGAGAACTGAATTTGACCAGAAACTTAGTGTCGTGCAGTCCTTACAGGTTGAGAAGGAGTTATTCAGCAGCCTTCATTTTGGTATAGTTCTTCCTGAGTCATTTAGCCCTTCTTTTTTAAAATCCCAAAGGCAAGCAGCAACACTTTTTTATTATAATTTGTTCAACAAATAACCGCGTGCCTTTGCTTTGCAATAATTTGAGGGTTCACAAAGATGAAGTATGACATTCTGGTCCTGACCTTAAATAGTGTAATCTAATTTGGCCTCACGGTTGACTTCTTCCTTGTGTTAACCGCTAGATTGTATGGAAAGCAAACTCTTGTAAAATATTCCTTCTTCTCCACCTGTAATCTCAGTTGCAAATGAGGGGACTTAGAGGGTGTAATTTTTATGTCCATGGATTTAAACATGTCAAGCAGTAAACTTCTATGCCAAAGTCATCACCCACACCCCCAACTTCCAATGTTAGAGGCTTTCTAAGGCCCTCACCATGGCATGTTGCGTATATCTATCTGCAGGGAGATCAAGTCATATTTACACTGGGAGGTAAACTACAACTTCTCTTTAGGCAGCAGGACAAATTCTGCTTCACAGAACACGGAGGGTTTGTGTTCAGGAGTCCACTGGCGGGTAACTTAAAATCCTGAAGGGTTGTCAGTGCATTTTGAAAAGACTGTGGTTTGCTTAGTCTCTGGGGGTGCAATCCGTTGAGTACTCTATTAACTAAAGGTTGGCAATTCGAACCCACCCACAGGCACCTGGGGAAAGATCACAGCCTTGAAAGCCCTGTGGGCGGTTTTACTGTGTTCACAGGAGGTTGCATGAGTCGAAATAGACTCAACAGCAACTTGTGTGTGTGTGTGTGTGTGTGTGTGTGGTTTTCTTTGGACAACATCAAAGCTTTATCTTCTTCCAGTTTCTGAGGTCACCAGGAAAGAAGAAACCAAACAGTGGTTTAGATAAAAGATGTCTGCTTCAGTTCTCTTAGCAATTCTGGGAAACTACCTATTGACTGAATAGTTATTAATTTGACCAGGAACAACAACAAAAAAAAAAGTAGAAATCTCATATTTATACAAGACCCTGACAACCTAACAATGAGAGAACTAAGTCCCTTAACTGTCCATGTTAATTCCATTCACCTGATAGTCATTCAATTCCTCACATGAGGAGTGTCTCTCTCTCACACACACACACATAGCTACTGATAGACAAAGTGGAAAAGAAAGAGAAGGAAGAAAAGAAAATGCCTGAACCTCTACCCCTTCCCCATGCCACCAGCTCCTGGGTGCCTAGGAGATGCCAAGGTTCCATCTAAGAGATGCCTTTTGAGAAAATTTTATTGCTTCCTTCAGATTGTGGGAAGAATTATGGCTTAATTGCAAGAACTAATGTTGCCTTGGTATAATAGGCAGCTTTCTGTACAGTCACAAATAACAGGCCACATCGATTTGCCTACTTGAATGTGCTGGAAATGTTTGTTGTCTCAGAAACCCAGAGGAGATGTTAATTGAAGCTTAATTACGTACCATAAATATGTTTTCTTTTGGAAGCCAGGAGGTGGGATTTTTGATTTTAGGAAATGTAGTGCCTAATAAGCAGGCAGGGAAGGGGATGTAAACATGCACTGAGCCCTCTCATTCGTCCCTCCTCTGGGTGGTTCTGGATAGGTTTTCAGATCCAGCATGTGCTTTCAGAACGACCCGCCCCTGGCGCGACCCTCTTGGGTGACTTGTCGTGAACATATTCACATGGCCAAGGGTATGATCAGACACAAAAGAGCCTGTTCTGATTCTGGTGGTCAGTTCCAAAGTGTGCCAGACACAGGAGTTAAGAAATCAGATGAGTCTCAAGAGAGAATGGGACTTTATTGGTTGTTCGCTCCTCTTGTGCTAGAAGGCAGAACTCGAGTGACGTGGTGGTAGCTGTCTTGTCTTCCTGCTTCCCTGTGCACACCTCCTGGTACTGTCCATGACATTGCCCTCTGGTTCCCCCCTTTCCACTCGCCTTCTGGAAGCCTGCCATCCCCCCCCTGGGTCCCCTGTGCTGTGTGCC